GAAGTCAACGGTCAACGCCGAAGTCAATGGTCAATTGTCAAAATGATATTTAAATAATTAAAATAATAAAATAAAGAAATAAGTAATAAAACTAAAGAATTATTATTTAATTGAAGAGTTAATCTTAGCCACACATAATGTACTAATCTAATGGCTATAAATGGGTCTCACATTCACACTTTAAATATGTGTACTCATTGGATCCAATCTCTATATATATATATATATTATGTACATAAAAGTTTTAGTTAAAATATATGTATATCTTAAGTATGTTTTATATTTATTATTAGTCAGCTCCAATTGATAGTGTACATTAAGTAATTTTATCAGTATTTTTACTTTTGAATTTAATGAGAGTTATAAGTTTTGTCATCTTTCTTACCCCTTATTTAGTTATTACAATACTAATAAAATAATTAAGGACCTTTCAAAGTATCTTGTTTGCTTTGAAAAAAATTAATTCTTATCATAAATTGAACGTCAATTACATTGAATGTGTTATATTTTCTATCGTATCAAAAATTTTCATAATAATAGTTGCACACAATATTATATATAATGCATTTTTTTTTTATAGATTTGGAGTCTTAGTTTTACTACAAGAAAATGAAAAAATTCCAACAAAAATAACAACAAATATAACGATTTTCTTATGTTGATTTTAGAAATAATCTTGACTTTTGATTTCTTAAATATATTTTACCTTATTGTGATTGCATAGATTTATTAAAATGTATTACAAATGTGATAGGTGATAGATTATGTAAAGTATAATTTATAAATTGCAATGACATGTTATTTTGATGGTATATTTTTTTCTATTCACTAAATAATGTTCCCAATATGAAACTATTTTGGATCTATCACTGCAATCATCTTTCCAATTGAAATTCTATTGAATTTTTGCATAATACCAATGACAATTTTTTCAACGATTGAAATATGGTCCAAAAAATAAATTCCAATAGAAATTTAGGTAATTGAAATCTTTACATCCACTAAAGTTCATGTAATTTAATTTGAACTCTATTGGAATAGCCAATGAAAATAACATATTCGTTGAAATTTTCAGTAGAATACCTTACCGTTGAATTTTTCATTGCAGTATAGCAAAATTTTTGTAATGCTCTCAAACATTATTTTTTATGTAGTATTTATTGAGTAATTGTGTTTACAATTTTTCTATTAAAAATATATTAAACACGTGAACTTTTTAGTTCCTATAATTATTTTTTTTCAGAAATCACTCATTGTTTTATCTCAAGATTACTTAATAATTTACCAATTGAGTTACATTTCTTACATATTAAATATTATATAATTAAAATATTTCTTGTTTTATCTGCTTAGTATCATACTTATATATTATATTAAAAAAACTATTATAGTAAATAAAAAAGTTATCTAAAATTAGAATAATAAAGATTTTTTCTCTAATCTACATGTATAAATGTACAAATAACTATTGTCTATCAACTCAAATTTACACATAAAATTAATGATAACAAAAAACTAACAAGCTTTTAACAATTCAGTTCGATTACATCGATAAGTATATTTTTAGAAGGCTTATATTTAGTTATATTAATTATATTATTTTTGTTCATTAGTTGTTTTATATTTATTAGTACGTGTCACAACTTAGTTATCATTCATATTATTTCTTATGTTTAATTTTTTTAAAACTTTATATTGTTCTTTCACATGTTATTAACTGTAGATTTGTCAAAAAAGACATAATATAAAGAATAGAATTTTTTCGATCATCTGCCTCATGATATATCAAATATTTGTATATCATATGTTATATAATATTTAATTACAATTTGTTATTAATATTTTAATTAAATATTTACAATTCATAAATTCATTAATAATATTGTCGAGTCAACTACTGTTCATAAATTTTTTAAAAATATATTATTTTCATTGATTTGCTTATGTTGAATTGAGAAAAGTTATGTTTTTTAATTACATATAGGGAGGATATAAGATTTCTTATATTTTTTAAGTAGTATTTATTGAGTAATTGTGTTTATAATTTTTCAATTAAAAATATTTTAAAAACGTGAACTTTTTAGTTCCTATATTGTTTTTTTCAGAAATCACTCATTATTTTATCCCAAGATTACATATTAATTTACCAATTGAGTTACATTTCTTACATATTAAATATTATATAATTAAAATATTTCTTGTTTTATCTGTTCAATATGATACTTATATATTATATTAAGAAGGTTAACAAGCGTTTAACAACTTATATATTTTATCTGTTCAATTATACTAACAACTTATTATATTTTAACAACTTATTATTTTATCTGTTCAATTATACTAACAAGCGTTTAACAATTCAATTCGATTACATCGATAAATATATTTTTAGAAGGTTTATGTTTAGTTATATTAATTATATTATTTTTGTTTATTAGTTTGTTTTATATTTATTAGTACGTGTCACAACTTAGTTATTATTCATATTATTTCTTATATTTAATATTTTCTTAAAAATTTATCTTATTCTTTCACATATTCTTAACTGTAGATTTGTCAAAAAGGACATGATATAAGGTATAGAATTTTTTCGATCATCTGCCTCATTATATATAAAATATTTGTATATCATATATTATATTATATTTAATTACAATTTTTTATTTAAATATTTACAATTCATAAATTCAGTAATAATATTTTCGAGTCAACTTTTGTTCATAAAATTTTTAAAAATATATTATTTTTATTGATTTGCTTATGTTTTTTTTTTTTTTTTTT